AAAAAAAAAAAATTAGCTAGGCATGATGGTGGGCGTCTGTAATCCCAGCTACTCGGGAAGCTGAGGCAGGAGAATCGCTTGAACCAGGGAGGCAGAGGTTGCAGTGAGCTGAGATCTCGCCATTGCACTGCAGCCTGGATGACAAGAGCAAAACTTCGTCTCAAAAACAAACAAAAAACATAGCATTAATTTTTAAAAATAAACTAAAGTATTTTCATGTTCAAAAAGCTGGGGCTCGGCCGGGTGCAGTGGCTCATGCCTGGGTGAGAAAAAAAAAAAAAAAAAAAAAAAATCCAAATCTAGGGGTGGCTTCCCACTCCCCAGAAAATGCTTACCCCAACTGGGATTTCTTATTTCCCATCTAGTAACAACATTTCCTTGCCACCACCTAGAAGATCTAGACTAGGACTAGAATGGGAGAATTATGTTCCATAGAGCAATCCTCTTAAGTTAGTTCCCAAACTTCTCCCCTCCCTTTCTCCCACATGGTCAGTACAAGCATACAAAAGTAGCTTTAAAAGGTAATGTCTCTCCTAGGTCTTTGTTTCTTCTCTCAAGCCGTCAGCCTTCCTAATTCATTCTTTCTCTACCTCTACATCAAAGCCCCTTTAAGGAGAGTCCTTTTATATCTGGGCCAAATAACTAGTCACTTAGTTTCAGATCAAAACTATTCTCCTCATTGTGAACTCTCTTCTGAATTCCCAGGCTTTTCAATGACTTCCACTGTCATCACAACTGCCTCCTTTTTTATATTCTTTTTCAGGAAACAAAATCTGCTTCTTCACAGTCAACTCTGAAACATTAGTCATCCTATCAGCCAGTCTTTTACCATGTGAAATCCTTTATGACTGTGTTTAAATAAACTTAAAAAAATAGCCTGGGGTCATTTCATTGCCTGTTAAGGGGGAAGAAGAAAGAGAAATTGCTTAATGAGAAGACTATCCCAGATGCTTTATATTTTTACTCTTTTAATTTCATAATCACCTTTAAATAGAAACTAATGTTATGCTTCTACAGGCCAAAAAAAAATAAAAAAAGGCTTAGAGAGTTAGAGAGTATCTTTATCCCAAGTCAAAAGTCAGCTTTACCCTATGTCAAAGTAAGTATGTGGTAGATCTAGAATTTAGACCCAATTTCCCTCCACACCACGCAACACAATAGTGTAGCATAGTGATAAGAGTACAGACTCTGGATGAAAGTTGGAAACCTCACTCTGCCATTTACTAGCTGTGTGACCTTGGACAAAGGTTAAGCTCTGTGTCTTGGGTTACTGATCTGTAAAACAGAGATAATAAGAGTGTCTATCTTATAGGTCATAATGAACATAAAACAGTTAATATATATGGTGTAGAATACAAACGTGTAAAAGCACTTCAAGTACTACATAAATGTTCATTTTTTGTAATTACTATAATACCATACTGCTGTCATTAACAAAAATCTCCAGACTTATCTTGTTCAAACTGTAGTGAAGAGGCACTTCTCCAGTTTTTTTTAAGGACAGAGAACTAAAACATATATACCTAAGCACAAGGCTGTGTTAATAAACACAATACTATCAAGCTTAAGGGGTAGGTTGGTGACAAGGGATGACCAGAGAAAAAGCAAGCCAGTGGATGGAGAAAAAGCAGGGACCTTTTTGCTAACCCATTACATCGCTGCCATGGAGTCACTGAGGCAGCTCAGCCAACACTATTTCTGTGTAATTCCTAAAAATGCCACATTCACCTGAATCTGGGATTCAGAAAAGAGTCCACAATGAGGAGAATAGTTCTGATCTGAAATTAAATGACTAGTTCTTTGGCCCAGGCATAATGCTATTGTTCCATCTGGGCATATCCTCTCATTTCCACTTCATTATTTCCTATTCCAATTTTACAGGTTCTTTGACTCTTACCACTAGAAAGAATTTCTCTGATCAATGCAGTTCACAGAGATCTTTTTTTCTCAGTCTGCTGAGAGACTTTGTGATAAATATTACAATTTGGCACTTAATCAAAGGAAGTCTCAGTTTTAACTGGTTTACATGAATACAGAAACAGTCTGGGCTAAGGGTTTAACTATCTTGAGGTTTATCACAATGCTGGATCTAACACACATTCTACACAACTACTTGCTAAACTGAACCGTAAAAGACTGTGATTCCTTTGGAATTGCCCTGTAGTGCTAGATGTACCCAGTGGGTTCAATGGCTTCTCACTCACCATGAGTTGTCAATGTGCAGGAGGACAAAGATGGCCCACTCCCAGAGTCCCTCACTTTCCAGCTGGCCAGCATAACTGGCCTGTAGCACACCTTCACACTGCGCTGAGAGATGGGTGTAGTTAAGAGCCCTCAGCACTTCCCACAAGTGCCAGCTTAGGCGGTAGTCCAAAGGATCTGCTGTTATGCTTCGAGGCTCCAGCAGCTGGTTGAGATCATAATGTCTGCAAAGAATGTGTTGAGAGTCAAAATACACAGCCAGGAGACGGCCTGTATTGATATGTCAACTGTTCTGCTTATGTCTAAGACAATAAAAGAATCTGAGGGTAAAAGGCATTATAGGCCTTCTCTCCCTCCAAGCCTATGTTTTATCAATCTATCTCTGGGTTCAGCCAGACTTTAGATCCTACAAAGAAACAAGGCACCTTCTCTTCTAAGGCTGTGTGATCTAACAGGTTTGCTGGTAATGGTTTGGCGTATGCATTTTACCATCCTGATATAGGGAGTCTTCACAGTTCTCACCCTTCCATTCCTTCATTATAATGTCATTACCTTTTTTTTTTTTTTTTTTTTTTTTGAGATGGAGTCTTGCTCTGTTGCCCAGGCTGGAGTGCAGGGGCAAGATCTCTGCTCACTGCAAGCTCTGCC